TCCCTACCCCAACCTTGAGGGGATCAGAAACTGCCATTGACAAGCTGGGGGAGGGGAGTCTTGGCAGGGGGAGGAGCTACCACACTCCTTCCCCTTCCTCCAGTCCCCGCCCTCCCTGGGAAGTAGGGGAAAGTCTTTCCTTCAAATGAGGAGGCAACTTTGATTAGTATTACAGGAGGCTGGTCTTTGTAATCACAGGGTTTATACTGTGTTTGCAGCTCAAAGTGGTTGTCAAACTTTTGATCAGAAATTGATCCAAATATCGTGAGATTGCCTGAGTTTTTAGCCCACTGAATACAGTTTGAAGGGAAACAGAAATAAAGTTGCCATCGGATTACATTCCATGAGTGGATTGAAGGCATACCATACATAAATGTTTGGCACTATTATGATTTTATATATTTATGTGTTTATTTACTTATCTCCAGCTAGCCCTGGGCCTGGCCCATCCAAGATGTCACTTACCATTCCTTATAGCATGATTCTGGGCAGGGAGCTCTGTAGGGATCAAGAGTGCATTGGAGCAAATCTAGCGTGAACCTTCAATGTAAAGTCACAGAATGTCAGGCTTGGAAGGAAGCTTGAAGTCATCTATTCTAAATGACCTCCTGCTATTTTGAGCCCCTCTGCCATACCCCTGCCCAGTGCTCCTCCCACCTGTGTTTGAATGTCTGCAGAAATAAGAGGATGTGCATCCTCTCAAGACAGTCCATCCCATTTTGTAACAGCACTTCTCATTTTGTTGTTTCTTTTGCTGCACAGAAGTTTTATAGTGTTATGTAGTCCCACTTGTTTATTTTTGCTTTTGTTGCCTTTGCTTTTGGAGTCAAATCCAAAAAATCACTGCCAAGACAAATGTCAAGGAGCTTCTCCCCTATGCTTTCTTTAGGAGTTTTATTGTTTCAGGTCTTATGTTTTAAGTCTGTAATCCATTTCAAGTTGATTTTTGTGAGTGGTGTAAGATAGGGGTCCAATTTCAGTCTTCTTTATGTGATTATCCAGTCTTCCTAGCACCATTTGTTGACAAGATTATCCTTTCCCCATTGAGTATTCTTGGCTCCCTTGTCAAATATTAGTTGATCGTATATGCAAAGGTTTATTTCTGGGCTGCTGGATCTGTTCCATTGGTCTGTGTATCTATTTTTATGCCTGTACCATACTACTTTAATTACTATACCTTTGTGATATAGTTTGAAATCAGTAAGTGTGATGTGGATGTTTAGGAGACATTGATTATGGAGGCCTGATGTTCTGAGACTTGGATGATGTGTATTTAGTCAGGTCTCTGGGAAACTTCCCTGGGTCCCCAAACCTCTGCTCCCATATTGCTGCTCACCTCACACTGTATGGGGATTTTTCTGTATGTCTGTGAGCACCTTGAGGGCAGGGATCATCTTGTTCATTGTTAAATTCACCAAGCTCAGTATTTGAAGAGAAACGGGTACCAATAAATTAGTTCCCTTTCCCATCACTGTCTAATCTGTAGCCTTTGCTGGGCCCACTTCCAGCTGTTCCCATTCAGTCTTATCAGGAGAGCTCTGGTCCTTTGAATAGATCGATTATCCTTTCTTTGCTGCAAGCTTCATTCCTAGGTTTGTCTCTCCAGTTCTAAAAACACTTTGATGTTTTTAAACTGTACTGAAAAGAGGAAGAAAACGACTTTCTAAGGTCAGGTATTTGGGCTTTGGGTCAACTGGGAAAGAAACAGATGAGTTCTGATATATCATATGAAACTCTGTCCATAGAAACCAAACCGTCCTATTTCTGATATTTCTGCCTCATTCAATGACATTGTTTTCTTTGGAAAAATAGAATATTTATTATTCAGACTCTGGGCAGAGGAGTGAAATGGCCTGGATCTAGATATAAGGGGCAATTTACTGCTGGCCAGCTGCCGCCCTTGCCATCTAACAAATATAGGTTTAAATGAAAGCATCATAGGCCCACTGCTACCTCTGTTCCAGAAGAGAACTATTTATTTTGAGCCACAGTTTTTCCTCTCTTTAATGCCGTTTTTGAAAAATGATGTGTACTTTCGTCTCACTCTGTGCTTCTCCTGTCCCTCCTACCCAGCCTCTCTGCCTTAGTAGATAAACCACTCATTAGGTTATTTATAGCCTCCCACCTGTTCTACTTGACCCCGGGTTTTCCCTCCATCCTTTTCAATTCAACCCTCATACCACATATTTCCCAAAGTTCAGCTCTGGCCTCCAGGTCAAGAGCTCCCATGGCTCACCAAACAAGGGCCAAACACTTGAGCATGGCCTTGTAGGCCCTCTGCCTTTTGTTCCTTCCTGTTGTGTTCTTTCTGCTCCAGCCAGTTTCACCAGCAGCTGCTTTGAGAACGTACCCTCCTTTTCTAGAGCACCCCCTTTCTTCCCTTTGAACGTGTCTTCTCTCTAGTTCCACATGCTCTGCTCTCCTCATCTTCCGAAGCCCAGACTGGCATTACCTTTTCCTTGAAGATTTCCCCGGTCTCTCTTGCTGAAAGTGGGCTGTCTTTCTTCACAGGGTTGTTGAAAGGATTGAATAAGATTATGCACAGAAGTAGAATGGTGGTTGCCAGGGGCCGAGGGGAAGGGAAAACAGGCAGTTGTTCCTAATGGGCAAAAAGTTTCAGTTATGCAAGGTGAATAACTTGTAGAGATCTGCTGTACGACATTGTGCCTGTAGTCAACAATACTGTTGTACACCTAAAAATTTGTTAAAAGGGTAGATCTCACATTAAGTGTTGTTACCACAATAAAATGAAAAGATTATGCACATGGATATGCAAAGTAAAATGCCTAGCAAATACTAGGCACACAGTATTTTTTTTTCCTTTCTACATTTTTTAATTCTTTGAATTCCAAAAGTATTTATTTCTTCTAGGGCAGCAAAGTTATTCTTCTTTACCTTGTATCATAGTTATGTGGGTGTATATCTTAATTGTTATATATCACAGTGAGAGAAAAAAAGGCACAGATTTTGATGTCTGACATCTATTTGTGTTTTTTTGTTTGTTTTTCTTTCCCTTTTGCGGTACGCGGGCCTCTCACTGCTGTGGCCTTTCCCGTTGCGGAGCGCAGGCTCCGGGCACGCAGGCTCAGCGGCCATGGCTCACGGGCCCAGCCACTCCGTGGCATGTGGGATCCTCCCGGGTCGGGCACGAACCCGTGTCCCCCGCATCGGCAGGTGGCCTCTCAACCACTGCGCCACCAGGGAAGCCCCTGACATCTGTTTTTGAGAGCTACCTCCAAAGCTCAGTAGCTGCGTGGTCTTGAATAAGTTGCTCAGCTTCTTTAAGACTCAGTTTTATTATCTGTTAGAAAAAGAAAAAAAAAGAAAAATAACAACTATCTCTCTGGTCCTGTGGATGGATTAAATGTGACAATACACGTAAAAATGGTGACAGATAACATGGCAGCAGCTCAGAGTCTTACTGTGGTTTCTTTTCTTCTTTGAGGGCAACGACTACAATGTCTACATGTTTATAACCCTAAGGCACAGAGCATGTAGCCTTGTGCATAGTCACAGCTCAGTAAATGCTTCCTGAATGAATGAATGAATAAGTGAGTGAAAGGAAGGAAGGAAAGAAGGGAGGAGGAAAGAGAAAAGATATGAAAGGGTTAGCTTACTTATATCTTCTTTGTAATACAAAAGTTACGATGGTTTCAACTCAAAGACAAGTATCTCCAAAAAGAGTAGGGATATTTCCTCTTTGTCCTAATCCTGTGCAACATTTTTAGTGACAGCAGCAATCTTTATATTTGGAAGGGAGAGCTGTTTAAAGTTCCCTAACTTTTGGAAGCCAATAGTTGATATACCAGCAGTGCCACGTCTGTTAAAGAAAAAAAGTGTTCTGACATTTGTTAAAATGGTAAGGAAGACGTTATTCAAGGCTTGTACAATAAGGGTGAACTCTATTGAAGTAGAGGAGAAAGATCAAGCTCAACTTTGAATATAAGAACAAATGGGGATTGATAGCCAAGGAGCAGAATGAAGGGGTCAGTGCATAATAAATTACTAAGAAGAGACATCAAGGGTAAGGGAACTCTTGCTAAACTGACCTATTAGGATTCTTGCTAAAGGAAGGCCAAGAACTTAGACATCAAAAGTGGGGAATGGGGAACTTGATCAGATACCAAGGGTGGGGGTATCTGAGTGATCGGGTATCAAGGGTGGGGGGATTCTCGGTAAACTGACTTAGCAGGATTCTTACTAAGACTGGGTAGGCAGAATGAAGACAGGATGGGGGCCAAGATCAAGGCCTAGTTGAGAACAGAGCTCTGAGGAGCCTGACTAAGGTTGACCACTATGCCATCATCAAGTTCCCCCTCACCACTGAGTCAGCCGTGAAGAAAACAGAAGACAGCAACACACTAGTGTTCACTGTGGAGGTCAAGGCCAACAAGCACCAGATTAAACAGGCTGTGAAGAAGCTCTATGACATTGACGTGGCCAAGGTCAACACCCTGGTCAGGCCTGACGGAGAGAAGAAGGAATATGTTCGACTGGCTCCTGACTATGACGCTTTGGATGTTGCCAACAAAATTGGGATCATCTAAACTGAGTCCAGCTGGCCAATTCTAAATATAAAAGTTTTCACTTAAAAAAAAAAAAAAAAGGAAGCCTGGGGAAAGCCGTCTGCCCTACTCCCACTGAGGAAAGCAGGAGTGGGGCAGGTGTGCTGCCCTAGAAGTCATGAAAGTTTGGCAAAATGTTATAAACATTCCTGTCTCTGGGTTTTCATTTGTGAGAGGGACATGACACCACTTTTCATCCCAACTATCTTAGTGGGTATATTAGTTGCCTGTGGCTACTGTAACAAATTGCCACAAACATGCTGATTAAAAACAACAGACAACAGAAATGTACTCTCTCACAGTTCTGTAGGTCTGAAGTCTGAAATTTGTGTCACTAGGGCAAAATCAAAGTCAGTAGTGCCACATTCCTTCTGAAGGCCCTAGGGGAGAATCTGTTCCCTGGCTCTTCCAGTATCTGCTGCCTGCTGTCATTCCTGGGCTTGTGGCCACATTATTCCAATCTCTGCCTCCGTCTTCACATGGCCTTCTCTTCTTTGGTCTGTTTCTAATCTTTCTCTGCTTCCCTCTTATATGAATACGTACTGTATTAGTCTGCTTGGGCTGCCATACAAAATGTCATAGGCTGTGTGGCTTAAACAACAGAAATGTATGTCTCATAGTTCTGGAGGCTGGAAAGTGCAAAATTAAGGTGATGGCCAATTTTGTTCCTGGTTAGAGTTCTCTTTCTGGCTTGCAGACAGCCACCTTCTCTCTGTGTCATCACATTTTTTGGGGGGTAGGGAGAGAAAGCTCTTCCTCTTTTATAAGGCCACCAATCCTCTCAGATTAGGGCCTCACCCTCATGACCTCATTTAACCTTAATTACCTCTTAAAAGTCCTGTCTCCACATATAGTCACGTTGGAGGTTGGGGCTTCAACATATGAATTTTGGGGGTATACAATTCAGTCCATAGTACATGTGATTGCATTTAGGATAATCCAAGATGATCTACCCATCTCAAGATACTTAACCTAATCATATCCATAGAACCCCTTTTTCTAAATAAGGCAGTATTTACAGGTACCAGGATTAGGACCTTGTGTCTTTGGGTGGCCACTATTCAGCCTACCACTGGTCAGCCAAATGGGTCATAAGAGCCTGGATTTATAAAAGGCTTGGAGGTCCTTCAAGGTTTTAATGGAATCCAGAGCATTATAGATTTATTCACAATAAAATAATCCTCAAGATTATTTCAAAGTTTGATCATTCTAGAGTTTTGCTGCATTGAAGTTTGTGGTGTACATAGTGACTGGGAACCTTCACTTGGCCTTTCGTCCTTTCCACTTGGATGTTTAATAAGTAATAAAATTTAACAGAATCATCGTTTTCCTCCCACCAGACTTATTCATCTCCTATCCCTCCACATGTCAGCCAACAGCAATGCATCCATCCAACAGCTCAAGCCAAAAGCCTAGGAGAGCTCCATTCCTCTCTTTTCCCTGTCTTTTAAATCCAATTGTGATTTTTAGCAAGCAGTGTGGCATGGGACCCACCAATCAGAACAGAGTCAGGCAGTAGAGCTGTCCAGGGGGGTCTCTACCATGCCAGGCATTGATATTTTAGTTTTTGGTTTTAGGGGAAGTCTGAGGGTGTTAGGCTGTTGAAGTGGGGCGCCACTTGGGGGCTTTCGGCAGTGACTGTTTACCAACTAGTATAGAATATGTCAATATTTTGGTCACTGGGTGGGCTCTCTAGGGACTTAGCAGTGAAACAGCAGCCCTTCCCGTATCCAACTTATCAAGTCCGGTCGCCTCTACATCCAAAACATGTCTTCCCAGCTGCTTCTGTCCACCTCAGTGGCTTCTACTCTAGAACTGGGCGCCATCTTCTCTTTTTTTTTCCTTTCTTTTTTTTTTGTGCCCTACACTTCACTCCATATTATATAAAACCCCAACACAATAATCCTTTGTAATTGTTTCCAGACTCAGATGGGCCAGAGGGTGGGAGGAGGGAGGACAGCAGCAAAGCTGGGAGGCTGGTGACCAAGGGGCAGCTCGGGATGCAGTGCGCAGGCACCATCTTCTCTTGCCTGAGCTTCTGCAGTAGGCCTCTAGGGTTCCCCTTCTCCCAAACATGCACCCCCTATAGTCCATTCTCCAAACAATAGCCAGAATGATCTTTTAAGAATATAAGTTATATCATGTAATTCTGCTGAAAGTGAATTCCCTTGTACATAGCACACTATGCGAACTTCTTATCCTGACCTAGAAGGACCTCATTGTTCAGCCTTTGCCCCTCTCCTCTAACCTTATCTTTCTCTACTCTCGCTCTCCCAGTAGCCTTCTTCCCATATCTTTTTTTTCCTCCCCTCATGACCTTGGCACTGGCGATTCTTTCTTGAATGCTGTTCCTGCCTAGATCTTTGCATGGCTGTCTCCTCATTCAGGGTCCAAGTCAAGAGTCAGTTGTCACCCTTCTCCACTTGTTATAATAAAATTAGATTTGTGCAAAAATGCCTTTTGTTTATTCACTCAAACTTTTATTGAGTTTTATCACTATGACCTTGGCACTCTGCTAGGTACCAAGGATACATGAACGAATAAGACCAAGTTGTTTTCCTCAAGGGCCTCAGTCGAGTGAAAGAGCCAGAAAAATAATTTCAAAGACCTCAAGTTATTTACGGTACAATGCAAAAATGAGCTGTAATGGAAGTCTTGCGGGAGCACAGAGAAGGACGTAACTATTAATAACTGTGCCTGCGGGAATCAAGGAAGGTTTTAGAGAGTAACTGACTTTACCTGGATAATTACAGTGGAGAATCCTTATTTTAGAGTGAATGAAACTGAACTAAATTATATTGTTCAATTTAAGACCTAAGATTAATCTGTGTTTGGTAAATATTTAAACAGGAGGTATTCCTGATTCTCATACACAATTTTAATGGCCATTAAGTATAAGCAGAGTAGATTTCTTTACTTTTTTGGTCCACGAGGGGGAAAAGTGCTTCTTGTTTAACTGACTTTAAACAAAGATTGATGGAGCAAGTAATATTAGGAGTGGAGACCTTTGAATTGATGGAGCTCTAGCTTTTCCAGTTGAAATGAGGTGAGTGGAAAGTCATGGTCACACAGCTGACCTGTTTTTTTATCTCTGAAATAAACTTGATCAAGTGGATCCCTTAACCCCTGGGTAAAGGACATTCCAAACTATCCTTTGCATTTCCCAGAAAGGTGGATGTCTCTTCCGTTTTTTCCAGCTTTATTGAGGTATAACTGACACATAACATGTTGTAAGTTTAAGGTATACAATGTGACGATTTGATACACTTATATATTGCAAAATGGTTACTACAATTAGGTTACTTACATCTATAAACTCAAATAATTAGGTGTGTGTGTGTGTGTGTGTGTGTGTGTGTTGATAACATTTAAGATCTCCTTTTAGCAACTTTTAAGTATATAATACAGTATTGTTAACTATAGTCACCATGGTATGCATTACATTCCCAAAACTTACTCATCTTGTAACTGGAAGTTTGTACCCTTTGACAGACATCTCCCCATTTTGAGCACCCCCCAGCCCTGGCAACCACCACTCTATTCTGTTTCTATGAGTTTGGCTTTTTAAAATTCCACATATAAGTGAGATCATACAGTATTTGTCTTTGTCTGACTTATTTCACTAGCATAATGCCTTTAAGGTCCATCCATGTTGTTGCAAATGGCAGAATTTCCTTCTTTTTCATGGCTGAGTAGTATTCGTGTGTGTGTGTGTGTGTGTGTGTGTGTGTGTGTGACATTTTATTTATCCATTTATCCATTGATGGACGCCTAGGTTGTTTCCATATCTTGGCAATTGTGAATAATGCTGCAATGAACACGGAAGTGCAGGCATCTCTTTGCGATAGTGATATTATTTTATTGGGCATATTTCCTAAACAATCTTTGTAGAGATAGGAGAAAAGAGAAAATGTCCAAACTCACAATTTTCACTTCGAATTTACTGTAACTATCACAAGCACATGGCTTTTTCTTATTCTTTTCCTTCCTAATAGTCATCAGAATTTGTAATTACATATTAATTTTTGGATTTTTTGTTGAACATCTGTGTCTCTGCTGTATTGAAAACTCCACGAGGGAGGACATTTCTATGGTCCACTGCTGGATCTCCATACTGAGAACCTAGCATATAGTTGGCGCCCAAAACATATTTATTCAAAAAGTGAATAAATGAATAATCCTGATAATTTGAGTAAAAGCCTAAAAGAAGGTAATTGGAGAATTCACACAAATTAAAGGATAATTGGGGTCATAGGGACACCTCCTCAGGGGAAAATCAACCTGTCGTAGTTCATAGAGATACTTCAATTGGATGTGAATTCCAGGTCCCCAACCATTCTGATATTTTCTGCCAAAGGGATAATTTAAATTGGACTCATGGGGCAGGAGGTGCTCAAAATTGTAGATAATGAAAATACCATTTATTTGCTCACTTAGCAAGTATTCTTTGCTTCTAATAGAAGGGGAGAAGGGCTCTTCATTCTTATATCTAACAGAAAATATTAATATTTGTTGAATATACTCAAGAAGAATATTCTTTAGGGTTAACTTAAGTAAATGGGTAAAGTTGGTATAGTTTGGGAATACATCATTTAAAAAGCAGTTTAAATTTGGTGACTAGGTCACTGAGCAAATAGGCTTCTTTTTACTCCCTTGGGTATCAAGCTTTATCTGCCTTTGGTGGAAGAGGCTTTCAATGTCTCTGCCATTGAAAAAGGGGAATGATTCACCCAGACTGTTTGGATGCAGCTCAATAAAGTCTCCTGGCAAGTCTGACCCATGGTCTCCCATCCTGGTGTTATGAAGTGACTTGATGTAGTCTGATTGTGCACAAGTCTTAGGCTCATTTTGATAGAAAATGAGAGCTGAAAACTGTTTCTTGGTGTGATAGGTAGATGCCCCCCCCCAAGATTCCTGCTCCCTGGTGGACAAGCCCTGTATCATTCCCCCTCCCCTCTACTCCCCCCTCCATCTAAGTGGGA